ATTCAAAAGTTGGTCCCCCGGTATGACCAATGTCTCAATTCCGGTGGTGAATATGTTGAAAAATAGCTGGACACTTGCTGTATCTGTTGCAATAAATATTTCCATGAAATTGTGTTTTGTTTCTGTAAACGGCCCCAGGGAAACTTACTTTGAGGACGCGCCTCGTAACATCACGCCATAAGTCCACAACAGCAGAGAGTAGGAATTTACTGGCATGGTAAAATATGTTAAAAGTCTTAAATAATTCTCTGTAAGAGGCTCTTAAACCCTTTTTGCTGTCCGTTAAGTCTGCCTAGAAAATTATTCCATACAACATAAATGGGAGGGGGGAATTGGTACAGTATTGAAGTATCATTTGAATATCTGGAAGAAAATAGCTGATTAGGAAATATATATTATTCTTATGTTTATAGCCTCCTGTTATTAAAACAGGAATAATTTGAAAAATAATTTACATTCATCCACCTACTTCCTCTATTGAATGAAAGTCATCTGGTTTCAGGTATCTGAAAGATTCTGTCAGGTATTTTAATATTATGATATTCAAGAGACATACAATCATATGGTGGTTTCACGTAACAGTCTGTAATCAGCAGCCTAAATATATATATATATATATTTTATTTTTTTAGGTGTTCTGTCTGACGACAGGTCCATATGAACAGGATCCTTCCATCCTTTTCTCGGACTGGGACCTGTTCATATACGTTCATGGCAGATGATCCAGAAGTGGTTTGCCATTGCCTTCTTCTGTGTGTGAATGGAGTAATTGTTGGGATGCCACGGAGGAAAACTCCGTGTTGCCTAGACCACGGCCTTGCCCAACACAAGTTATAAATTCGGGCACCGCCGGGAATCAAACCCGAGACCTCAGGATTACAAGGCCAGCGTTCTAACCGCTAGACCACCGTAGCCTAAATATTAGATGGAAAACAATTTCAAAGTACTGAAGTAAACCATAATTTTTTCTGGTAAGTAAATACCTTTTTCGTAAGAGATGGTGTCAAAGATGGACCTGATACTGTTTGGACTGTCAACAAACTGAGTAATTGGATGTGACGTTGACAGAGCATCAGCGGCGAGGGCAGACTGAAGATCCCGGACCACAAACTGTTCTCTGAGTCGCCAATCTCTTTCCACCTATGACCATATTAATGATGATTTATTATTTGAAAACAAGCCAGTAAAACAACAGACACATTAATGTTTATAGCAGATTGTTCAAAATTATCATTTGCTCTATTTCCCTCGAGTTATCACAGACTATATTCTTAGTATAACATGACTAACAGAAATCTCTGTCTCAGTGAATCTTATGACAATAGAGTGTGATTTCCATATTATGATAAATCTTACCATATCTGTAGCGAAAGACTCGAAGTATGTAGCAAATCCCTCATTCAGCCACAAATAATTCCACCACTCGGGACTTACTAGATCACCGAACCACTGATGTGCAAATTCATGGGCCACCACCGTTGCAATCTGTTGCTTGGTCCCTGCAGTGGCGTGATCCTTATCATACAAGATAATCCTCTCCCTAAAATTTGAAGAGATAATTTATGTTCAATTATGGACCGAAAAAAATTGCTATTTATAACAAAAGTATGACATAAACATAATGTTGCAAGAGGATCATGACGTACAAATGGATTGATTGGTATCTGATTGACAGACATCTGTATCTTATTATGAACTTTGTTAGGGGCCATGCATAGCAGTCAGTTCATTTTGATAGCACCACTTACCAAGACACAGATGTGTTGATGGCTAGAATATTTATTTCCTTCTCAAAAATTTAAAGCACATTGAAACCATTTCTCAAATTATTAAAATACTTGTTTTAGTTGTTCTGATATTTGTACACAGCAGGGGTTCTTAAACTTTTTTGTGTTACCCCCTTGGTTATTAATGCCCCCCCCCAATTCTACTGCCTTATAATAAACTATTCAGTACAACATACAAGAAGATGAACCTATATGTGTGCAAATATTCTAAAAATTTACCTGAATGTGCTTACATCTTTGAACACAGAAGATCGAATCCAAGTTTGATATCTGACAGTCCTGCTCTCAGATTGACATTCGCAAGGCGTATGCGATAGTTTGACTTGATGCACGTTAACGCAGAGAATACTGATTCACAGAGATAGGTGTCGCAGAAGGCAAGGGAACACGAATTTGGCAATTCTGCCACAACCGAGTATTCATTTCTAATGGCTAACTAAAAGTCACACACACGTTTATTAAAAAAAAAGATAGTTGAACAGTCTTATCACTTACAAGTTCAGCTGACTTTCCTTGACGAGCAGTTAATGAGAGGCGTGTTGTTTAATTTGTCTACGGAAACATTTTAGCGTTTCCATTTACAACTTCTTGTTTCCAAATTAAATGTACGAAATTAACATATTAGATTTTTCACTTTGGTCAAATGTATTTAACTCAATGAGTTTTTCGATAATATCAGTTAGATAAGAAAGGTTTCTAAGCCAGTTTTCATTGTGGAACAAGTCTGATAATGTTGGGCTGTCTTCCGTAAAAATGTCTCTTCTTTTAGTTCGAACAGTCTTCACAACACTATGGTCTTGCAAACTTCTTAAAATAGTCTTCATGCACCCGATTCTCAAAACTACTAAGCACATACGTAGAAGTTGGCCTAAATTGGAAATGTTGGTTGATTCAAGTTGAATTCCAAATTTTGGGAGTTTTTAAGTTCTTTCTGCCAACAGTTAGCACATGTCATCACCAGTCTGTCTTATTTGCTTGATGACAGTGACTCTTGACAGAGGCACAAATTCTTTTTCATCGGCATATTTTTTTCCCACGCAATAGTTCCGAATTTGAATTGTTGCGGGCATTATTTTGGTAATGTTTGTGCTGTTCTATCAACACTTTCTGCCGGCACAGGATTTTCAATTCCTTCTAAAAGAACTTAATAGCCTTGTTTTTAAATTCAGCGCGCTTTTTAATCACGTGTCTTTCCAATTTAACAAGTTGCCAACATTTCGAAGAGAATCAAACATTGTGGGCGTTGCTCGCCATCAATACTGGAATGTGTAAAGTCATAGATGTCTTCTGGGTTGTAGCGCCGTGTAGGCTGGTAGAAGTTTACCGACGTTTCAGAGGTCCTCGCAGCAAGGACCTCTGAAACTATAAAATCACCACACTGGACTGGATGAGAGTGTTGAGTCCACAGACAAAGTTCTGCAGGGTTGGGTTATTACCCGTGGATATATTCCTAACATTTCTGGGAACGGTTCGAGAATATAATGAAAAGGCTAGATGGCTATGAAGGTGAAACAACTACTGGAATAAGGCTACCGTAGAACCGTAGAAATGGGTTGGCAAAGAAATATTGCCATAGTGAGAAATTAATGCCCTATCACTGGCCATGTTACTGCAAACAATGGAATGTGTTATGAATTGAGTGCATCTAATGGGTGTTATTTTTAAGAAGTAACTTTGTTATAATGTTCCTCAGTAATGGCAAACACTTGTTTTTCAAGATGGCTGCCTTCTGGGTTGCTGCGCCATGTACTCTGGTAGCAGTTTACTTCAAACTCACATCCATGAAAACCTCAGATACTACACTTACTCTAAAAATTATGATTAAACACTACCCCATTCCTTATAAACAATTGAATTTTTAATTGTATCCCTAATTTGACTCATGATATGTAGTTGCCATTTTGTGTTTAGATTATCAAGAGACATCATGCACATTATGAACCCACTACGATCTTACCTGTATGTTGTAAGACCCCAGTTTTCCATTGCTCCAGCTGAAAAATCAGGCACGGCTACTTCATCCATTTTGGGCATTGGGTATTTGAAATCCAACAGAAACTCTTCTATGGCATGGAGAAGGGACGGTCCAATTTCAAAACTATACTGTGCTTGTTCAATGGCTCCTTTTCTTGCCCATACTTTGAAATTTTCTGTGTCATTTTCCAAGGCCACAAAGTCTGACACTATGAATGCAATCAAGTACGTGGGCATGACTCGTGTTGTTTCAAAGTTATCATACAATTGATTCCCACTGTAAAATATAATTTTAAAATAAAATTTTGTATGTACAACTTAGTTTAAGCCTTTGCCACACTTAAAGCAGTGGAATGTTGCAGAGTCAAATAACTCGTCACACATAACGTACTGCCTTTGTGTTGATTTAAAGTAAAAGGACTGCTAGTGACAGGATAGGACAGAATAACATAAAATTAAAGTTATTTATAACACTGAATTTTGAAGATAAATTTTCCACTTAATCTAATATAATATTGTTTTTTTTAGGAAAATAACTTAAAACAGATGGACACTAATAGCGCTTTATGGCAGAATAATAGAAAACAAAGTCAACAGTGGATATCGTTATATAAGCAACATCATATATGCAGAATTCCAGGGTAAAATAGAAGAAACAGAGTCAAGAATCATTTACGAGGTGCGATCGGAAAGTTTCAAGACTGTGTCAATAGAGGGCGAACTGGATGTAGTACGAGCTTCTGC